TTCCTATAGGAGAAGTGTTCCCATGGATTTCAGTATATCTCTGTATTTAAGTAAGTTACTTCTCCCTATATAAACAAGTGTTTTTCCAGCAAGTCCCTCTGCCTCTGCTGAAATAACAGGATTACTTTCAATTGCATTGACTAGGATCCAAGAATAATATGTTCTTGGGTTTTGTTCGTCAGATACGTGATGTATTGAGTCACAGAATTCTGCTTCTCAGAGATTGCCATGAATCTGATTCCTTTTAGGAAAGGCAATCTGAAAATCTTCGGGGGGTTTTGAGGTTGTCATTGAAAACGTGCCCCTTTTAAAAATGAGAACTTCTAAGGAATTCTCCACAGAAGAGATCAGTTAATTTTATCATAGTAGATGTTCTGAAGGCACAGCAAAATTTCATTGCATTTCCAGATTTTTTGGTGAAGTTTTTTTAGCATGGGGGTTCCTTTGCATTTGTTGGCAGCCACTGTGTGTGTTTGCAGTGTTTGAGCAGGCAGGTACAATGCAGTGGTGCATTTTGTGTTTGGAGATGTGTGATTTCGGGACTCCAGAGTTCTGCTTAGATACTGAAAATATTAAGCATCTAGTTATGCTTGCTGTAGGAAATTGTACTTCATTCATTGGTGTATAAATTTTAAGGACCAAATCAATAGGTCATGTTACAAAAAACAGAGCCTAGTAAAACAATTATTAAAATCTCACAGAGCCATGTAGTTACTGCTAAAGTTTAAAGGTTCAGAATTTCCATTCTTTTCAGTAAGTTCTTTTTAAGACTTCAAATAGTATATTTTTTTACTGTACTTCAGATCATTCTTTTGGCAGAAGCATAATATTAGTATTGCATTATTTGTTTTAAAATAAACATTTCAAAATTTGAACTCTAAAGTTGGAAGGCAGCAAAGGAGAGAGAGTTAATACCTTGTATACAGCCAGTTTATTGCTTTAAAATTATTGACTCAGCTGTTTTCATTTGTGAAGGATTTAGGAATTGTTCTAAGCCATGTAAATCAAGCCCTTGGCTGATGATGAATGAATGGAGCCTGGTGTCCAAAGCACATTGTGTGCTTCAAATGGGGGTGGTGGTGTTGTTGTTTAGATGATTCTCCTCCATATGTAAATCAGCACAAAAGGATAGTAAGGAAAAGGGCTCAAGAACCTGGAAAGGATCCATCTTTCTTGTTTATCAAGGCTGCTTCAGACTTTTTCCTCTGGTAGCTACTAAATCTTAATTAAGTTTGTCTTCTGTAACACTTTGTCTCTCCTTTTAGCATCAGCCCCTTCATTCTCTCTTACTGTGTCAGACAGCTTTGAGTTTGTAAATGCAAATACATCACTTAAGTTCATTTGCATTGTTCTGGATTATTTACTGCATTTTCATTTCCAAGTCAGCAAGAAGAAAGTTTTCTATGGTTTCCCTGTGTATAAGCAAGTACTTTTTGATTTTTATCTGTACTTTTTTCTTCTGTTTGTAAACAACTTTCTTGTTTTAATCATTGATTTGCAGCAGCATTCTTCTCCCTTCCTTCCCCTAATGAACTGTAACAAAGCCCTCAATTTTCCACTTAATGTAGTGTTGCTTTGTACACTGCATTTCATGTTTATGAAATGGATCTTATTTAGAAACAAACTGCAGTTCAGTTGAGGTACAATTAACTGTCCAGAAATTGCTGAAGGAGGATATTAGTGCCTGTTGCAGCAACGTCTTTTGATTTTCAGCTGCACAATTGATTGTGCTACAAACTCGACTGTGTTCTGAATAGGTGTATAACTCTGGCTTCTTGGTTGGCTCTAGGACTCAGACAACTTCAACTCCTCAGAAGAACCATAAATAAAAACGTACTTGAAACTATACACAATGATTGCTACTTACAGATGTGCATTGATTTGCTTGGGACTTTTCACAGTGGTTTTATTGAGGTATCCATTTTCTAGTTCTAGTAATGCTAGATCTATGCTCTGGTGTTGGGTGGAATCCAGCTTCCCTGAAATCAATAGGATTTTTGGCTTTTGCCTTCTGGTAGGATCAGAATTTCACATGAGTATGTTCACAGTACCCAAATTACATGCTTAGCAAAGAATCTGGTAGTGCTAATTTTCTGTAACTGTAGATAACAATACAGCTAAACAACCGAAACTTGTTCATCCCTAAAACTGGAACGAGTTAGTCTGTGCTCTTACGCAGTGCCTTTTTTAATTCTTTCCAAAGTCTACCAAATGCCACAAAAATGAGTCTTAATGTTAGTTGTCAAATGTTTCTCAGGCTGAAAGGGATTTGTTTCTTCACAGTTGTATGATGAGGGAGATGTATGTAGCATTCAGAAATAGCTCAAAATTAAACTTGTAAGTAAGAATAACTTTAAAACTTACCAAGAAATAAAGTCTTCCAGCTGCTTTGCTTCTGTGGCAGATGGAAAATCCAGAGGCCAAATTGCTTTTGCTTCCTATATTACCCGATGGTGTGGAGTGTTAATCTGCAGCTGGAGCTGAAAACTGCTTTTGTCTTTCTCTGTTAGATCCAAGCTGTATTGAGGAATTGGGTTTCTCCATACGATAACCAAGCTAACCTAATCAGTTTTAAAAAAAGAAAAAAGTAATGCTCCAGTACGCGTTATTCCAGGAGAGAGCGAGAAATGTTTTCTGAAACTGCAGTGTTTAATTCTCACATGCAGAAGTGCTCTAAACCAGCTACAGCTGACCCAGATTCCATATACATCACTTTTGGACAGTGTTTTTTTAAACAAACACACACTCGGCTCAGCCGTTCAGCCCACCTATGATGTCACCGCGAGCACTCGGAGAGCAGAAGAAACTCCTCCTTCGGATTTCCTATCCATACCCTCCAGAAAAGGAGGGGGGTAGGGAGGCTGAGAAGTTAGGAACAAGGAAAGATTGTTTGCCAGTAGAAGGGAGGTACCATATGGCAACGGACTGTGCAAGAGTTCAGCAGGCAATTACAAATCAAACATTTTTACTATGCTGCCTAAAGATGCCTTTCAAGTTATTACAGTACTGGGCTTCATTTAGAAGAAAGATTCTTTCAGGCTGATAAAACTCGATTTGTGTTGCTGGGAATAAAAGGGGCAGCCTGGCTGGATACAACAGGAAAAATGAAGCATTTGTAGTCTAGAAGAATGTTCAGCAGAATGTCGCATTCAATTCTTGACGTTCACTTAATAAGAAACAGTTCCAGTTGTTAAAGGCATGAATTCTCCAGTACATGTGGAAAACGTTAAAACTCTGTGTGTGATGGTTTTGGGTAGGTATCAGAATATTTGATAACATCTGACTGGTGTTAGAAGTAGCAAAAGCCACAGAGATTACACTCGACAAGAAACAGAGGATCTGGTTCTGTCCATCCTCAGCCAGCACTTGAGTGCGTTCAGTTTACTGCCGTTGATCTTCCTGGTTTCTTCACAAAGGCAGTGCCAATTACATTTGGAAGAAAATTACCCTTGTATGCTTTCAAAATTATTTTAGATTTCATAGAAATGCATCCAGTTGGTTTAGGAAGCTGCTCTTTACAGAAGACTCACTTTTGATTTAGCTAAAAGATCAGTACAAATCATTCAGAGGTAATTCTATAAATACAGTGGTTTATAAAATCCTGCATAATAGTGCAGGTGCCTGTTACAGGGAATTTCCTTAAATATAGTTAATAAGTATGATTTACTTCCTTCTGTGGAAGACTGGTCAGGCTTGGGATTTTTAAGGCTTGTTTGGACATGGGTTAATAAATTCAGCTTCAGGACAGCTTATGCACTCTAGGTAATGCAGCAATTAAATGCAACTACCTGATGTTTCTGATTATCTTTTCTGCTATTTAGCAAACTGGTTCTAGCAGAACAGAAAATTGAGAGATTTAGTAGTATATCAGGTCATGTATAATACCTTTTTATTCACTTTTTTATATGTCACCTTTCAGCCACAAGTATTTTAATTTGTTTCTGTGTGTGCGCACACACGTGTGTGTATGTGTGTGTGTGTGTGTTGGTTTTGGAGGGATGCCCAGAGTTTCCCAGCTCACATTTGAGGACTGTACTGGTTAGGTGTTATACAAACACAACTGCTGTTCTTGTGAGGTTGTATTAATAGTCTTCCACCTGTAAAGCCAAAGTCCTTGTTACGATTTTGCTTGTACAAGGCTGAGAGGTGAAGTAAAATATAACGTAAAAATTTCCCTGTTACTGAAACAAGTTTCTTAAACAGTATTATTTAAGTTTGTGGTGTTTTGTAGTCAGGATATCTGTGGAAGATGCAAGGGATGCACACCAATTCCTTTGAACAGCAGAATTGGTCAGGATATGCTTTGCTTAGTTGAGTCAAACGGGTGAAGTTCAAGAAATGGAGTTGTGGTTAGAAACAAACATTTTATGTACAGCATTATTGTGTGAGGAGGAGGATTTTCCTCTCTACATGATCAAGGGGTTGAAGGAGCAAACCTGAAAGAGGTTGCAAGCAGTGCAGGGGAAGATGAAGTCACTTATCTAGAAGGCTGTTGCATCTTTGGAGCTGTGATTATTACAAACTGCAGGATTAATTCATTTCAGTCTGGGTGCCCATTTTCCCTAGTTAATTTTTCCCATGTTGCTGCAAGTTGAGCTTGAGTTTTTAGTCAGCTTGAAGAATTATGGGTATTATTTATCCTTCTGTTGTTTTTTAATTGCTGCATTGGAGGAATGAAGTAGTAGACTTCCTAAACAATTAATTTTGATGGTATATTTTAACATTGTGTGTTTAGTATGCTTCATATTTGTCGAGGGAGCAGTAAATTGGTGCTGTGGAGGAGATGAGGTTTATGAGTAGTTGTACATGTCCTTGTAATTACTTTTAGAGTTCTAAAATTATTTCCCAGGTAAATCCAAATCTTATTCTGAGACAATGCTTTCATCAACCTGCTTTAACATTAGTGGAAGCAAAAATTCTTCACAGTATTCTTGATGAGGGTTTTTCTGCTTAATGAAAGACATTAAACAAAGAAACGTTTCATTCTAATCTCATTTCAGGTATTTATCTGTCAGACTTGACATATATTGACTCTGCCTACCCCTCAACAGCAAGCATTCTGGAAAGTGAGCAAAGAACAAATTTAATGAACAACATTCTTCGAATTATCTCAGATTTGCAGCAGTCATGTGAATATGGTAAGCAAGTGTGTAAATATCATAGTGTTAAAGAGAAAAACTTAAAAAGCTTGATTTTTTTTTGTCTCCTGTGATGCAATTTAAGTAAGGGTGGACCCATATGAATGCCATTAACACCCTCCCTCATATTCTCAGCCCGAAAGTCTGGGTTTATTTGAGTATTGTTGGTTAAGACAGAGCATCAGGATAAGGAGACAGAATAAAATTGCCTTTCTCTTACATCAAGGAAACTGCAGTACATATTTTCTGATGATAAATGTGTAGTAGTACATAATACTCAAGAGTAGTTTTACTGGTCTTTATAAGCTTGTATCCCTGTGTTCATAATTTTATGACTGAATTCTGAAAACAGGATTGCTTTTGAAATAGTACTTTTACTGGAGATAATAAAATACATTCAGCTTGTCTTCTGGACATTTATAGTTCAGTCCATAGATCAGATCATGCATTTTTTTCTTCAAATATGGGTTCCCTCACTGTCCTCTTCCCATTCTAGTAAAGTTCTACTGCTGTGTTTGTGATGGTGGAATGTGAATTAGCACAGAATTGTGGCTTCCCTGAAAGCTCAGTGTGAAGAGAGTGTGGGCTGTGAAGGAGTCCTCAGACAGCCCTCCATGACTGACAGGCCTTCAGTTTGGCCTTACTTTCCCCTTACATGTGCTCTGATGAGCAACTCTGGGGTCTGTGTGTGTGGGCAGTGTCAGCTCAATGCATGAGAATTGCTATGAAGTTGTAAAATTTCAGTATCATTAGGGCCTGTAGTTTGTACCTCCATCTCACACAAAAAGGCAAGAGATCTGAATCTGTCCAAATAGATTCTGGTAAAAAACTTTGCTTACCAACGAATGCCAATGAATGCTGTCTGTTTTCCAGATATTCCTATGTTGCCTCATGTCCAAAAGTATCTCAACTCAGTTCAATACATAGAAGAACTACAAAAGTTTGTAGAAGATGCCAATTACGAGTAAGTACAAAATGCTCTAAACTGACCATAACATTACAAAATTACTTCTATAATTCAAAGCCTATTACTTGTGAGACTGCACTTGCATTGGAGAATTGTATTATATTATCTGGGTGTCCCTCCCCATGGCAGGGATTTGGAACTAGATGAGATTTAGGGTTCCTTCTGACCTACACCATTCTGTGATTCTGTGATTGTGCACCTCAGACACACCAGCTGCGAGCAGCTGTGGTTCCAGCAGGATGTTGTGCTCAAGGCACTTTCCCACATGCTGAATGGCAGATCTGCTCCCTTTTCTATGCCAGACTGCACCAAGCCCTTGCTTCAGGTCAGTCTGATCTGCTGTGCCCATTAAATAGAGAAACAGATCTGCTGCACTTTCTACATGTGGCTCACCTGTTCTGTCATTAAGAGGAATCCTGTGATTTGAGATGGCTTAAGTCATTCTTCATCAGAACAAAACCATCTGTGCATCCAGTCCCAAGTTTTTACTGAGGGTGACTTAAAGCTTTGACTTGCAGATAGTACTTCATTTTATACTTTTCTCTTTGATTAGGTTATAAAGTGCGAGTAAAATATAAGCACTTGATTTTTGAGAGGCAGGTTCCCATTCCTCTCTGTCTCTGGCTGTTTCTCCCAGCCTCCCTCCCAAGATTTCTACGTCCTTAATTAAAAGATTATTACTGTATTAAGTGATTTGGCATCCAGCAAAACTGGGGGAGGGAAATTTCTGGCAAGAGACAGGAACTGAGGATCGGAAACACCCTAAGGCAAATCTGTTGCCTATGAAGGAAGGTTTTGTTCATTGGCTGATGTGCTCGAGGAGGTTCCCCACCCATTCCCATCCTGCCCGCCCGGGAAGTTTGTCACCTCAGAGGGCTTGAATTGGTTGCTTGTGCAGCTCCCTTGGAGTGGCAGGAGGGGGATGCACACTTCAGGAACAGCTGTGCTTTGCCATTTAATAGCCCTAACTTGGATTTACTGAAAGGCAGCAAATGGAGACCCTTTCAATTTATGTCAGTTAACGAGGACTCAGACCCTTGGCTTCTCTACTGAGGTTTGTAAGTTGTTCTCTGAATGTCCTTGTGGATGCATCCAGCTTTAGCTTTTTCCTGGGATGTTCTACAGCGTGATTTGCAAAGTTTCACTTGTCCATCACTGAGAGTAAAGCTCTGAGGAGCTTTGAAGGAAGGAAAAAAATTGAAGGAAGGAAAAAAAAAAACCAACCCAAATTCAAGCTTCTTACCTGCACTGTCTCCTTAGTACATTGTATACATGAATTCCACTCTCCACCTTCCTTCACTTTCACTGGGTAGGACTCACTAGCAGAGGGAATTTGATTGATGAAGGAGCTGCAGTCTCTTCATCCTGTACAATCCCTGTTTTGGTAGCAGGGCAATGACTGGAGACGATGGCACATAAATTAAAAGCATGGCTGCTGTTCACAGAGTCTGGTTTTGCACTGATGAGTTTTGTACATCTCCAAAATGAATGATTTTATGGTCAAGGAGTGTATTTCAAGAATTAATCTTACTTAAAGTGGGTCCTCTACTTTTCATCCCCCAAGGTGTCTGTCAGCAAACAGGTCAAAGTTAGAGAACAGCAACTGTAGTTTGAATACATGTTTTTTCTTCCTAAAATATTTTAATTGAAAAGATTAAATTATAAAATTGAAATGAATTGTTGCTATACTGTCTGAGAATGAGAGGGAGAGGAGCTGTCAAACTTTAAACTTTTTCTCCCCAAAATTAAATAGATGCTTTTTCAGTGTTAGTAGTTTCAAAGATTCTAGTTCTGCAAACTGTGTAGACAAGATACACTTCATCTTCCTGGAGTTATCTGATCCTATAGTCTGTCTTTGTGGGCCTGCTGGAAATGGCATTAAAAAGTTACAGAAAAAGCTTGAATTATGGCTAAAATCAATGTATTTTGATAATGTATTTCCAAAACACAAAAGAAGATTTTGGCTTTTGGACCAGTAAAGACAAAAGGCTTGGCACACTAGTGCACTTCATATAAAAATCTAAATTTTAAGTGTTCCCAGAATAAATATTTTAGCCAAAGTGAGGAGAGAAGATGTGTATTATTTTCATTTTTATTTTTACCAGGTTTTAGCAGGAATAGCAGTTTCAGTTGTGTGCCAGCCCTCTCAGGGCACTGCAGGTTCTGGTGATCTGTATGAAACAAAGGCAGAAAAAATCAAGTTTGAAAATAGTGTATGCTAAAGATAACTCTGTACTGTTTGTATTACCTTTGTAGTACTTCTTGCAATCACAGAATCAGGCAGCTTGCAGTCATAAAATTAAAAAATTATTCTTCGCAAACTTATATTTTTATTTCCTGATAAAGTAATTTTTAATGTTTCTTTAACGCAGACTTTCATTAAAGATAGAACCAGGGACCAGCACCCCCCACTCTGCTGCTTCCAGAGAAGATTTAGTAGGTAAATGCTTAATAAATGTGAGAAGACTTGAGGTTGTCATGTGCATTATTTTAGAATTGCAGACATGGAAAATATTTGCCTGAGGCTATAAAGAAGTGTGAAGTTTAAACACTGCATGTTTGTAATAAAAAGTCTAAAGGTGATCTGTAAAGAAGGAATTGAGTCATTTTTTTAGGTTCTTGTATGCATTGTGGCACTAAGTTGTTAATGTCATTTGGGGTGAAGAGCTATTAAATATTCATTCTTTGTTGTGTCTAGACAGATGGGCCTTCATCTAAACTTTTCATGGCATAATACGCTTCCAAAAATGAACATTCTTCTTGGTCAATGCCAAAAGTGGTTGAAGGCAGGAGTTTGAAAATGTAGAATCAGTGGAACATGCCCAGTGCTGGTGTAGAGAATGCAGCCACCTTTAGGACTTGCAAAATGCTTTCACTGGATGGGCTACTTGAACTAAACATGTTTGGTTTTAATCCTATGCAAAAGCCCTGAAGTGCAAGGGGTTTAATTATCAATAGACCAATGAGTTTTAATGCAGTTATCTCTTATAGAGGGAGTTTAGGAAGTTTTGTGAAACTTTTCCATGATTTCCTAAGAAGTGACCCTGACAGTAATTCTGAAATGACTTGGGAATAATGTCTTTTTTCTTCCCAGGCTCTGAAGTCGGAGCATCTCCACAGAGTGGACGGAAGAATGTTGCAGCTGAAGGAGCCTTGCTACCACCGACACCCCCTTCACCTCGGAACCTGATACCCCACGGACACAGGAAATGTCACAGTCTGGGTTACAAGTCAGCATTTTGCTTAACCTAAAAATCCTGAGCTTTGTTTTTTTAAGTGGTGTATCATCCTTTCCATACAAAAGCTTTGCTTGTAAAAAGTAGCATGATTTGTGCACAGTAGTTCACTTACAGAGCAATTTGTGGCCAGGGCTCAGAACTACAGTGCTGGTATCCCAACCGAGGAGAATTACTCAAAATAGGAATGGTGAATTTTTGATGATAAGACTAGTCAGTGAGTTAACCAGAATGGCTCTTTCTGAATGACAAAACTATCACTTTTTAGTAACCCAGTGCCACTGTAATTATTCAAAATTCAAAATTTATTGGTATTTTTACAGGGAGACCTCCTTTATAGACTTTCTTTGTAGACTAACTCTGTTGAGTAATGGCTTCAGGCTTTTTCCATATAAATGTATTTCTAGTAATATCTCTATCATTATCTCATCATTTCCCTTGTCATATCTTCAAAATGCAAGATTGTAGCTACCCAGTAATGAATAACATCTATTATGTAAGTTTACCTTTAACAAGCTACAATGCCATGCTTCAGTTCAGTTGTTATAGAAGACAAAAATAGCATAAGATATTGAAAGTAATTGTTAATGTACTCCTGACTTCCTCTTTGTTACATGAGTTCTGTGCCGTTTTAAAGCTGGCAATTCCTACCGATAATTTCTTTGTGCACAGTCACTTATGGCTTGGCTTTAGGGGCACAGTGCACTCAGTCCTTCAGGATGTTAAAGCAGCTCCTGAGACACACCAAAGGCGAGGGAGGCTGTAACAGCTGTGTCCTTGTTCGTTTCCAGTTTCATACACAAAATGAACACGGCCGAATTTAAAAGCGCGACGTTCCCCAACGCAGGACCGCGGCACCTGCTGGATGACAGCGTCATGGAGCCCCACGTCCCATCCCGAGGGCAGGCTGAGAGCTCCACCCTTTCCAGTGGAATTTCAATAGGTAGGAGCTGCAAACACACCCATGCAGTGCCTGGGCTTTTAATAAAGGTTTTAGCACAGTTGGGTGGTGACTGTGCCTGCAGCAGTGCTGTTCTGAAATCCTGCTTCTGTTGTAGAACAAATCTGAGAATTGTAGGGGAAGGAGGGTGGCTTCATTTATACAGCATGAACTGAGGAATTATGAAAAAGAATTTTTTTGTTTTTTCCCCTATTAGTGATACTGCTTCTGATACTCCTCAATGGAGGTGGAAGGAAGTGTGGGACATGATTTTCTATTCTCTTTTATTCCCTCACTAAATCGATTCAAGTTTTCAAAGTTTTATAGTGGGATTTCTATTTAAAATGCAATTTTGACTTGACAGTGTAAATTGCTGACAGTTTTAAGAGCATACTTTCTAAATGCTTCTGATTTTGATAGAAAATAGAAAATTAACTTTCAAATACTTCAAAATGCCAGAATCTACTAAATTTTGGTAAATTACTTACCTTCATATATTTAGGGTGGTGCTTTTTTGAGAAGTTCTGCTTCCTGAGTTTCTTTGCTCTTTTTTCCTGTTGGACATAGATCTTTTAAGTGGAGGGAGGACCGGACACAAGTGCCTCAAAAATCCACCTGTTTGCAGGGTTGACAGATGGAACCTCTCACTGCAGTCCTTTTTCTCAGAATTGTTTCATAGAATTCAGTGGTGTTCAAATTTTATGCATTGATGATGAAAGATCCTTGTAGTGCTTCACATTTCTTTGGATAACTGAATTTTAGAAGCAGTTTTGCTTTTTAGCCTTCGTGGAAGGCAACAAGGTCGCAGATTGTCAGATGATTCTGCTTTCAGGAGCTGTAAGGCTCCTTGAGGAGAAAGCCATATGGAATTACACCCAAGTAGTTGTTCTAAGTGAACCTGTTCACATTCAGACAGCTTCCACTATTTAGTATGCATTGTCTGTCTCTGTTCCCTGTGGGTTCTCTGCTGTGGCAAAGTTTTCCATTTTAAAATCATCCATCAGGAATGGTGTTTCAGTGTCCAGGCAGCTTCCATTCCCAGGGCTTGCACAGTGCAGGAGAAGCAAGCTTTTGTCAGCTGTGCTGAGATGTAATATTGCCCTTTTCTCAGGGCAATGTTTTATGGATGTTCTCTATCTAAATACCTGAGAAATTCTCTGCAGTTGATCCTTTTTTTTCCTGGGTGAGTTATTTTTGTACCTCCATTAGAGCCTAGCAGGGAAAGTTTGCCAGAGCTGACAGGCAGGTTTTCATAAGGTACAATTGAGAACCAGTCACCATTTATATATTTTGGAGAATATAGGATTTTCCTACTTTGTCTCCTCTCTGAAGTTTTCAGTTCTGTTCTCTAGCTCAAGCATGACCTGACAAGCTGGAACAAAATTGCCACTTGAGAAGACTGGTATAAATGACTTGTAAAACAGGAACCTTGGGTATTTTGTGCCAGATCAGCATTTGTGCTTAGAAATTCCCCTCTCCCATTCTCTTTCACCTCCAGCCTGCCCATACTGAGTTTTATCACTGTTTTGACAGTCCAGCAGTGTTGTTATTTTTGCTGTTTCTTGATGATGAAAATTTCAGTGACACAAAAGGTTGATAGAGGTGCTAGAAATACACATGGAAGAAGAGGGTAAGTTCTGGAGGTTTGCAGTATCTATTACTGCAGAATTCTTGGAAATGTAAGTTGTCTGGCATTCTGTGCTGCTGCCTCAGCAGGATTTAAGGAAGTTGATTGAAGCTGCTGAGTTCCTCCATCATGTTTGAAGTAGTCTGTTTACTCAGGACTTGGAATCAGTACAGTCACTGCAGCAGAGAGGAGGTTTATGGTATTCTACAACACAGCTTCAAAAGACAGTCAGGAAAATGTCTCCTGAATGTGTGTACTGAAAGGAGTGTTATTCCTCACCTTGCCCATAAACGTGGATTTAAACCTGTTGCTCTAGAAACAGGACTACCTTTTTTACATATAAGCCTATATAGGCCTTAACTTTTCGGATAAATGATCCTTCTTCAAAACATGGACAGAGTTTCTGCTATGTCAGCACCTTAAATGTGCCTTTAAAGACAACTGTAATGCTGCTTTAAGTCACTCCTGTGTTTTGGGGGCTCAGAGGTGTTTAGACCTTTCCAGTCCTTTCATATTGGAGGATGTGCCTCTGTTAAATATCAAAACAGCACCAGTGTAGCTACACTGTCCATGGGAATCCATCAGCAAGTCTCTAACCTAAAATACACATTAAAGCCATGATGGACATTTTGGTTATGTCGTGCTGGGAAAGGCTGACTGTCCACTGGGAATGGTGCAGAGCTTTACATCAATGTCATTAACCTTTCACAATGAAGAATATATAACTGGGTGTTTTTCATTGCAATAAATTATTCCTAAAGCAGCAGTAATGGAGAAAGTGAAACAGGTGTGGTGTTTGCTCAAAATTGGCCGATCTGTGATGTGACAGCCATGATCAGAGACCTTTATCAGATTATTTTCTTAATTTCTGCGATTGAAGGCTGATTATGTACATTCAACTCATTCTGAAAACAAACAGACTCAAAAATATTAAAGAGAAAACCTCTTTTATTTTGATTTCTTGTGCTTGGGTCAAAACAGTTCTTGTTCCTAGTGCTGTGGGATGGTGTTCCATAGCTGATGGTCATGTGTTATCTGTACCTCTGGTTCTGTATTATAAATTGGTGCTTGTTGTCTGGACAACAGATTTTAAAAAGTGAGAAATCTTTTTCCAGCACTGCCAGGCTATCCAAATAAGAAGGAAGAAACAATTGTGCAGTCGCATATACAGTGTCAGATGGGAAATGTTCTCTTGCGTTTAGGCATGTAACAAGATGAAATAGTCTCTTGTAAGTTTTAGACATTTATAATGTAGATGGCTGCATTTGAGGTGGTTACAATTGGAGCTCTTTATAATCACATAGAGAATTGAAATTCTCAAGGATATGATTAATCTCGTAGGTGGGTGACTAAAAAGAGCTTATATGGCTTGAGTCCTTAAAACCCCACTTTATTTCTGTTGATTGCAGACACTTTTGAGAGACAATAAATGAAAGTACAGACAGATGAACAGTGGTGAAAATGTCTGTTTTGTGCAGACAGTCCTGAATAGCTGCTTTCAGTAAATTGGGACAGATGCTTTTACTTTGCAGTGGAAGTTCATTGAGAACCCCCACTCACTGCTATCAGCCTGGCCTAAAGCTACAACGTGGTTTTGTTCTTGGAGGGCTGTTTTTGGGTGAGGTCACTGTTTTGGTGAGGTCACTGTGTACACTCTGCCCTCCTGAGGTGTGAGCATTGCTCTTGGCTGGGTTCAAGGAACCACCTGCAAACTTGTACCACCTGTTCTCCTGCCTGTATTTGCCTCCTGTCACCTCCTCACCTGAAAGTAGAATAAATTAAGATGATTTTACTAGGTCCTGGTTCCACTCAGAAATAGCATGAAACTTCCTTTAATTCATAAGATATTTTTCTAAAGAATACATGGTTCTCTAGTCATTCCCAATTTTCTTACACTTTTAAAGTATTTATTGATCAAGCATGCTCTTAAGTATCTTTGCAGGAATGTTCAGCTTGTTTCATTAATGTTCTCAGAAGCTTTGGATTTCCACCATTTCTTAGAATTTGGCTCTGCTGCGTTACTGAATTTCTTAAGCTGAGTTTGTTTACAATGGCAAATTGTTCAGATAATTCTTAGGAAGTAAAGGGACAGTGTAAAATAGGCCTCTCTTTTCATACATTGCTTCTGTGTGGCTTTCCTCCTCTTAGAGCATCTAACCTAGAGGATGCCAAGTTGTTTTGCTAAGGAAGTTATTCTTTGAGAGTGCTGTCTCGTATACCACTTAAAAACAGATGTCAAGTTATGAACACAGGAACACTGCTGAAATTGAGATTGTAACTTGAGGTGTTTAAAAATTCAAAGGAAACAATTACGGATTGTGTTTGTAGCAGTGGTGGATGCAAATTCTTTTTAAGCTATTTTTTTTTCCACTTATTTTTCCTAGTCTACAATGATATGGATGAAAGCTCTGGAAAAACTAGAACTCTTGAACATTGGCCTTTGTGTGTTGCAATCACTGGAGAATAGCTTCAGCCTTTGTTTTAATGCAGTTGGAGGAATTAATGCTGCAGAGTCAAAGAAAGGTATTTTAAATCCGTGTGAATTAATGTAAGAAAGTGCCTTTGTAAGAACATTTCTACATTTCCAAACCTAAACTGGCATTAAATACATATGAGAATATCAGCATTTTAATGAATTCCTCCATTAAGTCACCACCTCCAAGTTACTGAATTCTACAAGGGATTATATTTCTCTTTAAATAAACGGGGTATAGGTGTAGGTATACAGTGTATGCATTTATTTTCAGGGGTCTTGGCAGCCTGTAGAGTAGGGAAGACCTTTACACAGCCAGTGTTTGTTTGATTCCTTAACCTGTACTGTGCTGTTCAGGTGTGTAGGACTCTGAGTCATCAGATCAGATTTCAGGTAGGGTTTCAGGCAGAAAAAATATGTCAGGTTTATTTATATATTTCCTTTATATGAGTGTATGAATGCCTGTCTCTTGCCTTAAATGTGGATACCTGGTTTTGCTATTGTGAGCTACTACTTCTTTAGTGCTAGGATAAATAAAAAACTTTATAATATTAGAGGTTAAAAATGCACATGTGGGTGCCTGGATTTGAGAGGAGAAGATAGTCTAGCAACCCAGTTCTTCCCCAATCTTTCTTGGTTGTGTTTGGTCCGAGGCTCACACTCTGGATGTGTTGAAATCAATGTAGTTGTAAAAACTCCCTTTTTCTGCCCCATCTTTATCCATCTGGTTATTTGCTTTTGCTGATTTTTCACAGTGAAACTCAGTGTTGGTATTAAAAGTTTCTATCATTTCTCTGGCATGATATTGCTTGAGTCCTCTGCCAGAGTTCCTGCCATCTGTATTTGGTTAACTGAGGAGCCAGAGTTGAGCTGCTTAAACTAAACCTAAATAGTTAAATGGTCATGAACCGTATATGAGGATTTGCAGTGTGGTTGTGAGCTCACCAAAGCAGAACAGAGCTTTCAGGGCATGGAGCCCATCTCTGTGGTGTTGTCTGGGCTGGGCTGTGCTGCAGCTGTTGATGTTCAGGCCTCTTGACCAATTTTGTGTGTTTTCACGGTAGAATTTCAAGCTCTGTCGGGTCCGTCACCAGCTCTGGAAACACGGTGTAACCGGAGCCAAGAGAGTGTCGATGACAGATTTGGGAAGGGGAAAGAATTTTTAGTCTGAAGACTTTTTAAACTCTTTGGGGTTGGTTTGTTTATATTAACACCTGTTTAACTTTGGGGACTAACTTCTGGATAAAGAAAGCCTGTGTTAAGTGTTCAGTATCCCCAGACTTGCTCCGGTGAGTGGGTGCCGTGACCAGGGGAGTGGATATGGGGCAGCACAGGCATTCCCTATCCCATAACTGGGAACCTCACTCTGTTTGTGTGGCTGGAGCACAGACATCTCACAGACATCCATCTGCATGTGCAGATGTGAGCAGAAAATTCACATCTGAAGGGAGCTGCAGTGCCGGGGCTCTGCAGACAATCCTGAGCCTTCTCAGATAATCACCGGCACACTTAGCAAAAAAAGCCATCTTGCCAAATGCTTTTACTCCTAAGATAGGAAAAAAACCTTCCTAAAGATTTTATTTTATTTCAGTCCTGCACAAGAAATTTATTAGCAATGAAGAAAACTAGGAAGATAGTGTCTTGAGTTAAGTGACTTCTTATATAAAGCCAAAATTTGTTTAGTACATTAACTAACAGAAAGGAATTATACTACCTAGGATTTGTTGTTAAGTTTAACCTGAAGAACTTGCTTGAGGTTGTTGGAAAAACTCAAATATTGAGTACATACTTGAGAAGAATTTAAGAAGGTGATATATTTTTAGAGTACTGAATGAATGAAATATTTCCAGTTGAGGTGACACTCAAATAGTGCACTTAATGTTTAAACAGACTTGGCTAGACATCTAACTTTTATTAAGTTAAAAACAGTCCCTTTTACCTCTGTTTTGTTTTGGAAGGAGGGATGTCAGGTATTTTCTTTCGCTTTTCAGCAAAGGGGTGTTTTTAGCATCAGAACTCGTGTCATGCAAAATATCTCCTAGAAGGTTTTAGAATCTAAAAAATTCCTGTTGATGTTTTTATATGGATGGTAGAGGAATAGTCAGCGCTAAAATTCAACCTTTTCCAGGCTTTTGCTACAATTTTTACAACTGTAGGAATCAATGTAAATGTTAAATCAATTGCTATGATGTATTGTGCAATTTCTTTACAAATTGGTGTTGCTTTTAAGTATAATTGCCAATTTCTGTATAGATTTAACTTTTTAAGTGAAATTTTTGGTTTACAGAGGCCTCAAATTCCTGTAGGTTTTCCTCACTGTACTGATACTGTACCAAGGATTGTCACTTTGTGGCAGGTGACATTTTAGTTCTTGTTCTAGATTGCTTTGCATTTTTACAAAGCAACACTAGCTTTTAAATCTTTCTTCAGTCTATTTAGCACAGCAATTTAATATAACTTTATTTGCAAAGCTGATACAGTTGCCATCAAAATGTCATTTCAGGTAGAATTTTAATGTATCAGCCTACTTTAAATGCAAACAATAACTTCATAATACTGTCTTATTAGGGGATTTTAATTGTGTGGATTTATCATGTGGTCCTAAATTAAGTAGAGCTCTAGTCATATTAAATCTTGCTAATATAAAGTTAAATCTAAGCAGAAGTAAGAAAATAAATGAGATTCTAAGTATCCCTAATGCTTTCAGTCCAGACTGAATGACTTGACAGAAATTGCTGCACCATTTTGCAGGACAGATTGCTGCAAGTAACCACAAGGACAAATTCAATTTTAAGCAAGGAAAAAACTATTTTTTATGTTGGGGTTCAACTCTGCCATCCTAATTGTCATTCCAACTGCTAAAAGGATTTCAGCATCTTAAGGTCTTACTGTAAGAGATTCTACCACAAACAACTTTCTTCAAAGACAATCAGCTGGGAGATCTTACCCAAAATAGTTGCTTAAAGTTGTCTCTGAATTGTTACATCTGATTCTGTCTCCTCACCCCCAAACCATGCTACTTATTAATTTGAAGAGACTTTGTGTATTGCCTTAGAGAGAATGTGATTGTGGTTTCATTAGGATGAAATAAATCACTGAGCTTTTCACTGTGATGTAGATCGTAGAATTTGCTGAAAGTATTGAGTGATACTCGCTTCTTCCAGGCTTTGCAAAGACTCCTACTGTAACAGCAGGCTCCACCTGGATGGGTTACTCCACTGGTTACTCCTTTTTTTCCATGGGATGGTTCATGATTTACCTGGTAGTCTTTCTGTATAGAAAAGCCTGGAATAATGTGGAGTTCAACCCACACATTCTCTTTTCCACATTGCAGGTCAGGTGTAAACTGTGCTGAGCAGAACTTCTGATTATTTTTATGGTCACTTCTTTGCTCCCCTGCCCTGTGGCACCTGAATGTTTGCTGACAGATTCAGTCTGAGAGGGTCACAGAAGTGCAAGCATTTACTCAGCCATGGTACCTGGGTCTCTTTGGTCACTTGTCCCCACAGCTCCAGTGGAAGTGTAAATCACAGGAGGAGTAACTGTGCTGCTCTTCTGTGGACAGAGCTGCTTGCTGCTGTAACCTTCTCAGCAGCTTTATGCTTAAGGATCAGTGATCTGCAAATGGAAGTATTAAAAACTTAAAGGCACTTCTAGAAAGTAATGCAAGTTACCTGTTGAGTATTTTACCTCCCTGCTTGCAGCCCTTTAAGCCTCTGCTGAAACATCACTTCTGTATCTGGAAGCTCCTTCCCCTACACTAATGGCTCTTTCTGTAGTGTTGGTGTGAACCAGGTTAGGAAAAATTCAGAATAAGCTGAGACCAAATTATCTAGTGTCCCATAGAGATCATAGTAATACGTGGATGTTGAGCTAATGTTTGCAAAAGAGGCATCTCAGTTGAATTGGCTGGCAGATAAAGGCATGTATTTTCTCTTAAATTTTGCACAGAGGGAACTTCAGCCCATGCTGAGATTTTCACGGCTCTTGGCTGGAATTGTCCCTGCTGTGTGTAAATCTTTATTGCCTCCATTTTTACTCCGTGTTTACTCAGTGAATATCCAGACCTACTTTGTACACATGATTTTTCAGGGCACCACTTTTCCCTGCTGATTTTCTGTCTAAAATTACAGAGAACTGTATTCCCATTTTCAGCTGCTGTTTCTCTGAGGGAGCTTTTAAGGAGGGAGCATTGATACAAATTTGTTTGTTTGTTTTCTGGTTTGTTTCAAATAATTGTGAATAAATTCTTCCCTTTGTATATGGGTGTTCAGGCAGCAGAGCAAACAAGGTGGCAAGTTAGTGTGCCAAAAGGTGGCTTCAAGCATTGACTGACATTGAATGGCACTGATATTTAGGTTTTGGGATTATCTGGAACCAAAACCATTGCTTTGAAATGGTGAACAGGGATAATAGCTGATATGGGCAGCTGGGCTGGTCTGAAAGGTGAAGAGCAGCAATGCAACAGCTTGGAATTGTGTATGGAAGCTACTGATCTCTATTAACAGCATCTCTACTGACAATTATTTACCGATTTTTAACGTTACAGATAACATCCACCTCGTATCTATATTTAAATACTCATTTTCAGACTGATGGCATTTACTGGAATTGTAAAGTTAGTGTCTTATTTATGGGACTGCCATGAGTGGATGCATCAGACATTTGGGGTTTGAGATTTTCCTCTCTTTTCCATGTTTAAAATAAAATAGTTGTGGATTCATTTACAAAACACAGAAGGAAATAATACTGTTGTGATCTGATTAAGTGGGAGATAGCCTTAAAAAGTTGTTTAAGGTTTCTCAAACTTGTATTAGAGATTCAGCAATGAACTTGCAACTCTGGGTCATGACTGTGTGTGACTTGATAAGAAGTTATTTAAATAAGTGACTTGTTTCCCTGAATTCAGACAAATCTGTGTTTAGGGTGCTCTTTATATTTTGAAAATATGATTCCCATTTATTATTGCTCCTTTTCTTCAAATTATTAATGTGGAACTAGACTTTGTCCCTTCAATCTCCATTTCAGTTTATGTGAAATTCCTGAAGCAAATCACAAAGTGTTTTCCTTGTCGTATTTTACTGAAGTATTTTTGTGCGTTTCATCTTAAATATTCTTATATTCAGAATCTCAAATATTCTGATTCTTTCAGATACAATTGACAGAGATGGTTTGTAGATAATGAAATAAGGTATCACTTACATTTCTCTAGGTAGCAGTGATGGTTCTGAACTCAGTGAAGAGACTTCCTGGCCAGCATTTGAAAGGTAAGAAAAACCTGTGTTTCTCCATTCACATTGTTACTTAGAGTCTCTCACATGGTCCTGAAAATTATGGTTTTTGTTAACTGAACTAGAGATCTGTCTGTAAGAACACTAAAAAACTGTAGCAAGTTTGCTGCATCTGTTAAAGCAGCAGAGAAACACCTTCTGCTCACTAATGGTTCATAGGGCTTTTATGTAACTGGGTGCTTACCCAGTGCACAAATCCTTTAAGGAGCTCAGCCAGAGAACCATTAGACCCCAAAGGTTTTATATACATGGATATCACATGTGCTGTTTGTGTTTGTCTGATTTTCATTTTCACTTGCCCTGGGACACTTCATCTGTTCATAGTCCCATTGCTCCATTGACGTTGTCACCTCTTTTGTCTCTCTCATCCTCTTTTCCCTTCACATTTTCATGGGAAGACACAACAATGCCCCTTGCTAATGTCTGATTTTTGTGGTCCAGAATTAACAAGTTGTTCTTTATCCATCACCTGCAAGTGCTCAGGTGGCTTTGACCACTTCAGCCCATTCTCATGTTGTATTTGAGAACGTGGAAAAAGGCAAACAGCTGTAGTTTAACACAGAAAAAGGTGGAATAGTCACCTTCCCACAGCTGTGTGAGAAGCACAATACAGTGCATTGCTTGCTTCTATAACACAATTTCAGGTGATCCATCAGCTTCAGAGTTGCCATGAATGACTTTTGCTATCATGCTTTTACATTTTTCATTGGAATTTTTGTCAAAAAGCTTTGTCTTTTTAGTTGGGAACTGTTGCCACAAACATATTCTGATAGAAGTCCTTGAAGCAATTAAAGTTCTGTGTTAATTTTGGAAGAAGTCTTTGAAAATCTCTCTGTTCCAAAGGTGAACCCCTGGATGCCATATGCCTGAAATATGAATGCATACATGAGGAAAGTCCCTTAATAATTTCATTAGGTAACATTCCACATGACCAGAGAACACAAATGGGGTGAGAAAGGCAACCTCTTAACTTGCAGGCTGCATCACAAAGCACATCCAGCATTCAAAAGGTTTTCTTTCTTTTCTTTTCCTGCTGCCTTATGGAATTGTGAATTGGTATCAAATTGTTTCTCAAAGATAAAAAGTCATTAAGTTAGAAAACATGGTGAGCTGAGTGTTTTTACCCAGCCCAGCATAAGAAACTTTAAAAATTGGGTTTAAACTTACGATAACACTCTTCAGAATAGTGTGGACTTCTGAGACAAAGTAGGGGTTTTTCATCCTTGTGCTAATGAGAACTGGCAGCCCCAGGCTCCCGCAGTTAAAAGGCTTGCTCCACGTCAAACAGAAGATTCCTCCTTCAAATTCCACTTGCCTTCTGTACTTCTCTCTCTCCTGAGAGAGCTTTTGGGAACCCTGTTGGAGGTTTCATGTGTTTCAGGATGAGTTTTCTTGCCTGCTTCCAGGGAGAGGGATTTGGGTTCCTCACAGACCTTCCCCACACCATGTGTGAAATTCCTAGAGATCTGCAACAACCTTGAGTCTGTTCCTTGGTTTATAAGATGATGAGGCAAGTTTTAAAATTTAATAGGTAATACACTGGCATGCAAGTGTCAAAGTTTAAGCTCACTAGAGAGGGTCTCTCTCTGGTTTTGGTCTGTACAGTGAAGCACAGTGGTTTCCATTCTTTATAAAGATACTTTATTGAGGGAGAGGCATTAGTTGCCTGGAATTATCAACTCAGGCAAAACTGGGATACATCTAGTGTTAATGACTATTTTCTGTGCAGTGCAAGTAGGAATTCAGTATTTCTCAGTGATTTAAGAACAACTTTGGGTAGGAAGGCTTAAATCTGCATCTTACGCCTGAAGAGGAAGAGAACAATTCCTCCACACACAGATCCCCCAAGCAACAAAAGGAAATGTAAAGCGTATTCTTGTTTTTCCTGGCCTTTCTGCTTGTAGCTGGGGAATGAAGAAGGGATGAGAACTAGAGCCACTGATTGTTTTTAAGTGCAACAGAATCTTAGTTTGAAACTTGAGAGTTTTCAGCATTGGGGTGTCCCTTCAGGCCAGTCAAAATTACTGGAAGGACTAAAATTCCAAGTCCTTACAGTTATATCCTGTTAAGGGCAGTGTATTAAGTGACACTTCAGTCTCACTGGTTGTCATCCTGAGTGTCTCTGAATAGATTTCCCTGAAATAGCAGGATTCCAAGAGTGGTAGCCTTCTTGTTATGCAAAAAAAAAACCCCGAGCATAAAGGTAAGAAGAAAACATACTTAATTTGCATGCCAAATATATGTATGCAACAATAAGCAGCTCCTATTTATTACTTTTTTGTTGTTGTTGTTTCATTCCCCTGTATCTTGAGTGTGTTCTAAAAAATAGTTCATAAGGTCAAAGATATTTGTTATGTCAAGAAACAAATGATGGCAAACTGTGGAAAAGGTTAGTAGATGGTGATTCATTAATATCTTTTTGATAATAAGGTTCGTGCTTAACTGCCTGCTCCCACAGAATTGCTGATTTTCAGTCTTTCAACAGAATACAAGCAACTAGAAAAATGAATAAAAAATAGGATGTGAGGACAGAGTGCCTCAACTATGCTTATGTTGACTAAAATGGAATTCAGTCAATTTAGGGGATCTGATTCAGAAAAACAAGGTTCAGTGAAGCAAAGCAGTGTTCAAAAGGCAGGTCTGGGGCACAACTCCTGAATAGGGATAACAATATGGATCAGGTAAATTATTTTAAAATGTGGAGCTTACAGGTGAAGTGTATAGCGTAGATGAACTGGAAAATTGAAATATTGCTGAGCTGATTTCAGTGTTACTTAGCACAACAGGATTTTAAACAGTGTCAGGTGTATTTTGACAGAGCTTGTGGTTCCTTTCAGCCCAACAGCTTGTGTGTTTTCATACTCCTAGAAGTTGAAACTGGTTTTGGTAGTAAGATCTAAAGTCAGATATCAAGATAAGTTCTATCAATATGGTTCCTTTACATTTATTTAGTCTAAGCTAAATGCAGACTTTGCTCTAAAAATGTGTTATTCTTCAGTGCCAGTAAAACACTTCAGTATTGTGAGTTCTGACAAAGAGAACATCTGATGAAATGAAAAACCATATTATTTACTTCTGCATGCATTTTTCTAAATAAAATTATTCGCTTTTTCTTTCATGGAAGAAGTGGTTTTGTGATATGCACACAAAAAAAGTTCTGTGCTGTTTTAGCAGTCATGCTGTTTGTGTGAATGAAAGTATATGTAATACCTACAATTTATAATGGAATCCAACAGGAACAGGTTGTACCATTCTCTCGGTCCGGGGACAAGAGTGTCACGAAATGGCCATCGAGGCCACATGAAGGCCAGCAGGTACAATCCCACTGCACACAGAGGTGTCAAACCTTCCCTCTGCTGTTGGTGATTTGGTTTGGTTTAATTATTAAGTGGGTGTTTTCTGATGTTACCTTTCTAACTTACGTGTCAAAATAAAGGTAGAGACCTTTTTCTTCAGACTTAAAACTTTTCCCTTCAATGACTTACTCTATATCAGCATAAGGACTGCTCATTCCAGTCTGCAAATCCAAATTCTGAACCATTGGATCTTTCTATCAAGGCTTAAAGATGTTTTGCCAGGGTAGCTTTTGAACTGCCTGCCGTTGTGGAGCAGTGCTGGTAGTTGTCATGGGGAAACAAAGCTCCTGGTGCTAATGGATGGCATTCCAGATGTTTTCTTTGCTGGCTGTTCTGTACTGAATTTCTTTGCTCCTCTTCCCTGAAATCAGAGAGATGCCTAAAATGAGTAACACATGCAAATGGCCCCCAGTTTAATATAAGTAATAATTGCAAGCTGACAGAGTAACATAACTGATTATTCTGATTCCTTATGGATACAGATTCTATCTCCAGCTGTTTCACTGTAGTTGGGAAAGAAATTGCCTTTAACTGTGAAACCTCTATCATGTTAAGAAGCAAGCATTGTCTCACTGAATTACACCCATGTTCACATCTGTCAGTGTCCAAAATTGTCTCCATATCATCATCCTCAGTAGGTGCTGCAGTGAAGTGTTTTCCACATTTCCAGTTTACTTTGGACATAGGATGGATGAAACAGCAAATCCTGGCTTCCTTCACAATGATTTTCGGGTGCTGTTTTCTTAGAAAGCTGCTGGGTTCAGCACTTCAGTTACATGCTCTGATTGACATTTACTGAAATGATTCCTGGTTTAACTTTTCTCTGATTGGAAATGTTTTTGAAGCCCAGTCAGCTTTGTAATTTTCATCAAGTTCACTTTTCTTTCCTCAGTGCTGTACCTGGCCTTTGTTTCAGCCCGTTGCTCTCTGATCTTTCGTAGGGCAGATGATCAGTAGAGCACCAGTTGCATTAAAACACCTTAAAGCTGTGGTTTGGGTTTCTACTCTTTATTCCTGCTCCTGCCCACTGTCCTGGCTTTCAGATATTTTAAGTATTGTGCATGTTTGAGCTGTGCTTTGTTTTTGATGTGCTAATGGTTCTGGTGTTTCTAACCAAAAAACAGTCAAATCTTTCCTGCGAGGGCTGAAGGAGAGGTTTAACATGTACAGCAACTGTACTTCAAATGTTTGCTTTTTAAAATTAATCGTTCTTGTCTTTCAGTCATGTTTTGAGTTTTAATTTTTTAATAGAGGATTACCTGCTTGGCTAATTAATTTTTCTGATCACTTTTGCTTGCGAGTGTTAATTCCACAACAGCAATTCCTTGTAACAGCCAAAGTCTTTTTCCACAATGAAGTCAAATAAATAGAAAGCTGACTTTTTCAAATTACAATAAAGATATTTGCATTAGTTTTTGGTAATGGTTGGAAAATTAGGAAAAATATTTTTTCACACAACTCTTCACATGCTCCTTTCAGCTCCCTAGAGTCTGAAGATTTGGCTGTTCATTTGTATCCAGGAGCAGTTACTATTCAAGGTGTTCTCAGGAGGAAGACTTTGTTGAAAGAAGGCAAAAAACCTACAGTAAGATTTATTTTTTTTAATAAGTCAGTGTTCTCACTTTCTTCCTTTGCCCAGTTATAAATACAGTAAAATGGCCATTGGGCAACTAGTTCAAGTGTCTGAGATCTCCTCTTGCTGATTAAGATTTAGGGTCGTTGCCAGAGTTGCCATTCTTCTGTTTGGTGCATTTATTCAGTTTGTAAGGCTATACACATAATCTAGGAAGTAGAAGAGAAGAGGATGCTGCATAAACTTTTCTACAATTACTGATGACTTTAAAATGCAGAGAATCATGTTTTGTCTCCCTTAACAGGAGCTAAATCCCAGCAATCTATCAATACATTATAACTCATAGCCATTTGCATTGCAAATACTTGATGAACAATTATAAATCAAAATACATATTCAGGACAATGTGGGATCCTTATGGCAGCATAGATGGAATAGGAAAGGGATAGATGTACTCTGACTCCACAAAGTGTTGTGTAGGGGTTGCAGGATGTATAGAGCAAGATGTAGAACATTTTTCTCAGATTAGAGAGGAAAGGCACATGGTCTTTCTGCTTTCTGGAGTTTTCATGCATTCATAGGCCTGCATGAATAACAAACAGCAGCTTTGGAAATATGGCTGATGCTTGGCTGGACAGTCAGTGCTCTCATGTTCTTTCAGGGTGGTGCCTTCTCTTTCACAGCTCAATGTTATGAAGCATCTCATCCATTGCACTTTTGGGTTTGTTTGTTTGTTTTATTTTCTTTCCAGGTAGCATCTTGGACGAAATACTGGGTGGCACTGTGTGGAACCCAACTCTACTACTATGCTGCAAAATCCCTGAAGGCTGCAGAGAGAAAACATGTATGTAAATCAGGCATGTTCCAGTATCACCTGCCAAAACTAAAATGTGATTTCCTGATGTAAACACTGAGAGTAGTTGAGGCCTTGCCTGATTTCTTGTCAGCATTATCCCAGTCAGTCAGTCACCTCATATGGATATACCCCAGGGAAATATCATTTACATTTATATGCTACACCAAGAACATCTGCTTTGCATCTGCCATGTGTCTCTGACTTTGCAGGTCTTTTAGGAAAGGAACTGTGTCATTGGTCTGTCCATTTTCAAAGGCAGAAGTTCTGTCTTTGGATGATTTGAGTCTTGCAGCAGTTTGTTGCCATTTGAAATCTAAACAAGCACTGATGAGGAAAAACTGAACAGTCACAAGATACAACAATTAAACCTATACTGATTTCATCTATGTGGTAAAATTAAACCATTTGATTTTTCTGTATAATCCTGTAATCCATTAACTGCAGTGGAGTACCAAACACTTCATCTGCTCAGCAGAGAGCTGATGAAGATGTCAGATAATGCTGAGGTTCCTTTTATTTGCTCCAGCTTGATCTGAAGGAAGCTAAAAATGCTTTGCTTATGTGGGGAAGGAGCGAGAGGATTTTCTGTACTCGTTCCCATGGATGTAAAGATGTGCATTGTTCCTGTTTCATGTCCCTGGTTAATTATAATGATTCTCTTAAGAAACTGGGTAAAATTTGAGATACTTGAATCTGAGTTCATTCACTACTCAGAATCATTACTTGGCTGCCTTGGCAGGTGTTTCAGGTTAATTTATGACAACTGTCACTGCAGAACATTTGCTTTGCATAGAGCTTATGGAATTTTGCAAACTGAGCTGTGCTTTTGGAATCCTTATAAAAGGGACTTTCTCTCTGGTACAAAATACTGTTTTCTTATCCTCATCTGCACATTTTTAAGTGCAGAGGGTAGAGATTTGAAGTTTAACATTTCTGGTTCACAGGCTGCTGAATATTTGAAGTTGCTGTGTGGAAAGTTTGTGTATAAAGTTCTCTTAATCTAAGAGATTATTTCCCACTTCTATTGGAAATTCATTAGGAAACAGTATTATAACACTCAAAGTGGCTAACAAAAAGTAATTCCTTTCAGAACTATTTTATGTGGTTTCTTGGCCATCCACCCCTACTAGCTTAGCTTAGGTAAGATTGAAACTGATCCTACTTAATTTGTCTAGGCCAGGCTAAAGGTTCATTAGCCAATCCTTCTGTCTTCTGGGTGTCTTGGGAGAAGTGTGTGTGTTTGGATGCATTTGTTTCTGGCTTCAGTGAAAACTTTAGGGAAGGATTCCACCTCATTAAAAGGAAGGAGCAGACTTGTAAGCTATTATGAGTAGAAATGCAAAGTATTAAAAAAACGGAGGAACCAGGAGAAAACTTGTACTGGCATTATGTCACTCACAGCTAGTTGCCTGTTTTTTCTGGAAACACTGAGAAATGGAAAAGAAATTTTTGTGGTAATGTCAGACTTTGTGTTCCTGTTACTGCTGTGATTCCTTCAGGCTTTGTGCCAAAATTGCATTTTGTTTTCTTTTAGGAATAGAATATGTATTTGTAAGTCTTCCTGGTTCAGTATTCTTTACAAAATTGTGGAGGACTTTACCAGACTTGCATCTATTAATTCAGAAACTTTTTCACTCTTCTGTATTAGCATTTTAAAATAATCTAAATAGCATGCTGGCTTAGAGAACTTGAAAAAAATGCTTAGCATGGAATTATATTGATTGGAAATTAAGTGCATTGAATTCGCATTGTTTACACATTTCCTTCAGAATAACAATTTCAATAATTGAAATGGTCTTCCCTTTTCTTTAGCAAAAATAAGTGAAGGAAAAAGGTAAACAGTCTGGTATCTGATCCTTCTGAGCCTTTGTTCCTGCAAAAACCTTTACTTTGCCTGGAAATACAGTCACATCCATTTAGAATGCTCTTTCAGAGATTATTTTCTAAACCTCTTGAACTGACTTCTGATATTCTCCAAGTCACTGATATGTTGTGACACCTACAACATCTAAACAGCTGGTGAACAGAGGTTTAAGAAGCCAAAATCTGTCTCACATGCTTGTGTGCTCATGTTTCTTTGTTCAAGGATGTTCCAGCAAACCAGTAAGGAAATTCGCAGGGGATTTCCTTCTCCTCAAGGAGGAGAAGGAGGAGAGAGGTGAGGAGGTGTTGGAGTCCAGGCTGCTTGCAGATTTCCCACTGGGAGCCTACCAGCCTTGTGGTTTGCAGGTACTCAGAGGAGTTTGAGCAGGGCAATTCCCAGGAGAAGGAGGAAGAGGAGTGGTAGTTAAAAGCAATGACTGCTGAAGAACATTTATTTCTTCATAATAGTTGGCTCTATGAAGTTGGACTGAACTGTCCAGCACAACCATGGATTTGGCTGTACACAGCTCATGTCTTGCTTTCAGCTTTGTAGGGCAGCAGACAGGCTCTGTTTTTTTGTGGATGCCAAGCCTGTTGTGAAGCTCAGTCTCTAATTTGGTTTCCCAGGTGCAGTCGAGGTTAACTGCAGTTTGAGTTGTCTTTTGTTTAAACGAACAGTTTGCAGTGAGTAGTCACAGTGAACCTCTGCTTCAGAGGTTGTTAAAACACAGAGCATGACCTCTATGTTAAAATTAGGGTGGGAAACCTGGTAACTGCTACTGAGGTTGAGGGATTGGTTGAAGGATTCCAGTTTAATTATTAAAGAGGCTAATAATAGGTGGTCAGTAACTTGTTCAGCTGCTCTGCCTGTGTTGTACTTCGAACCTGGCTATTAGTGGCTGAGGTTTCCATCCATTTCATTGCAGAGATATTGTACAGAGCCTCAGCTTTGGTTCTGGAGTCTGTGGAGATGACTTGTCAAGGGTCATGCTTCAGCTCACGTTTGGTTGCATCTTCAGGAAAAGTTAATCAGGAGAGAATGAAGTGCAGATGGTCAATCATCCCTGGATAGCTAGAGCATGAGTAAATGCTCCAAATACTGTCCAGTGATATTCCCAGGAGGTTCACTCTGCAAAATGAAGAGATCCAAGGCTAGATTTAGGCTTTGGGGTTTTTTACTTCACAGATAAAAAGGATGATGCCATCTACTTTGAAGCAGGTCTCTTTTTCAAAGATCGATACATTGGAGATTTACCTCAGCAAAATATTCCAGGCATCTTCTGGAGCCATTTAAACATCTGTCTTTTCTGCTTCCTTTCTCAAGCCCTCTGTGACATGGAAAGGAACGCTGGCAACAAAAGAGTCAGGCTGCTATATAAAGTTTCCTGGCTGGAGCTCTCATGGTAAACGTGTCTTGATTACAGGCATGCTTTTGACCATTCTGCTGCTGCAATTGCTTCAGGCAGCTTGGAATGCACCGACACTCAAAGCTCTTCCAGGCTTATAATAGCCAGCCTCTTTGGAAAATTACCTCATAAAAATCCCAGAGTAATTTCTGAAAAGGGGCAAGAAATCCCCTTCCTTTTAGACACAGACGAGCCAGCTCTTCTCTTGCCTGTGGTCAAAGGCCAAGGAGTGCATCCAGTATTGTGTGCTGCATCTCCTAAGAGTAACAGCATAAAATTGGCATTGAGTTTAAATAGTGAACAGGTTTCAGTTATTACTGCAGTAATGGAGAATTGTCTATAAATGAGCATGTGAACTTCAGAACCCAGAGATGTAGTGCAGCACAATCTCAGAGGAATGTGTGGACAGTGGTTTTATTTGTATGCTGAAATGGAACTCACAGAGATGCCTCTTTGAAAAACTATAGCACTTGTGCACATTTAGAATAAGGCAACAGTAAGATTAGCCACTTGAACTTAGACTTAAAAGAAGCACCCTGAAAAATGGGAATACACCTGTAAAATAACTGTTTATTATCTCAGTGATTGGACTTGCCAATTTCTGTGACAACATAGAATTCGTGAGAGATTTCTCCCTGTTTGTAAGTACTTGGAAAGCAATAAAGACTTTTTATGCTTCATGCTTGAGCACAAACCCTGGTTAGTTCTAAGCCTTCCATTGCATGCTATAATCAGAATTAGATCAATTCATTTGCATTCCAGAAAACTTGGTGCTTGTGGCTCAGACTCTTTCACTGAAAAACCCTGGTGAAGAATGCTGTCATTCTGGGAAGGATGTTCAGCCACTGAGAAAATTATTTGAATATTAGAAACCTGTAGAATCTCAACAGGAGACGTGGAGGAGGAGATTTGTAGGTGCCAAAGTGTTGGAGTGAAAAGTCTGTTCACAGATTAATTCTGAATTTTTGATTCAAAGATTTACTTATAAAAGCCTTTGAGCTCAGAACAACAACAGCAAAAATCAATTATGTGAAGCCTAGTGCCAGAGCTGTGCAGTTTTCCATGTGTATAATAAGAGTCATTCCAGTGGCCTATATTACAAAAAGCAAATAGGAACCAGGAACATTAAATTACAATGAAGCTTTCATTCCCTTCATGTTAACAAAGCAGAATTGCTGTTAGCAAGGCTCTGTGCATCAGCAGAGGCTGAGCTGCCCTGGGGGACTGTGTAAACATGGAATACAAATCCAGCTGAGCACGGGGATGGAAAGCTGACATGTGTTTCAAGTGATGACGGATTGACGCTGGCAGGAAACACTTTCCTTGTGTGGAGCTTTTCATTTTATGGAGAAGCACCATGATTAACTGATGGTTTTGAGTGAAAAGGCAAGGAGCTCTAGCAGTTTGGATGTCAGTTTGACATATTGGATACCTGTTGGGATATACAGCTAGGATAGGAAAACCCATTGTGTTGTTTCCATTAAACTGTAGAAATAAGTGTTGTTCAAGAGGTACATTTTGATCTGTAATCCATTAAAACTGCTTTGTGACTCAAATTTCCATCTCTGTGGAAAGGACCATTTGATGTTTTAGGACTGCTTGGAAGTTTGCATTTTGCAGGTCCCTTGTAATTGTTGTGTCATCATACTTTTTGAGGCACTGTTGTCAGTGAGTCCATAACAAATCCTTTATATACACTTCCTTTTTTTAAAATAACTCATGAGCTATATCCTTAACTTTATTCCCTTTCCTTGTCTTTATTTCTTCTTACAGATAAAATGCCTTAATTTTCACTACAGACTGGCATTACTTACTGCCTCCTCAAAGAAATTCCAGTTTCTGTTTGAAAAGAAGTTCCAGCCCCCACTGTAATGAAATTTTATCTAATAGAGCTTTATAATTTACCTCCTCCTCTTTTGGTGCTTTACCACATCTGTCCACCTCTGAGAGTTACTTAATTTTAGTGTGTGTATCCAAAGAGCCTGGACTCTTAAACTATTTTGAACTTAGTTTAAATGCTTTTTCTTTCATCTACTGGTCTAACATTTGTTCATTCTAGGTTCTAATGGATTTTAAACTAGGGTTTAAAACGTAGCCAGTTGTGCAAGTCCCAGACAGATAAACTTACCTGGACAATGGCTTCAAACTGACAAAAGACAGGGTTAGATGGGATATTAGGGAGAAATTCCTCCCTGTGAGAGTGGTGAAGCCCTGGCACAGGTTGCCCAGAGAAGCTGTGGCTGTCCCATCCCTGGAATTGTTCAAGGCCAGACTGGATGGGGCTTGGACCAGCCTGATCTAATGGAAGGTGTCTCTGCCTGTGGCAGAGGGATTGAATGAGATGATCTTTAATGTCCCTTCCAACCCAAAACATTCAGTGATTTCGTGATGATTCCGTGGCCTTCCAAGTCTTTGGTTAACCTGTGGTATAGGTTAGAATAAGTGACATTAGATTTGGAATAGAATTTTATTTATAAAGCAGCTGTATTCCCATGCAGAGAACATTCTTATAAACTCTTACTTTGCTCATGATACCTTCAAACTTATTACCAGTAGCTCTTTCCTTGGTTGAACCAGAGTTCCAGGATTGTAAAACTAAAGCAACAGTTCTAAAATGGAGCAAAAGTAACTTGATATTTAACATTGTGCATCTACCTTGTGGTATTATACAGTGGGTTGACACAACACATTAGTATGAAGAATAAAAGTATTTTAGAACTATAGATTCATTTTAATGACTTCGCCACATGACACCATCATTTTGAACATCTTGTTGATAAAAGAGTGTGACTGCCCATTTCTGGGCACTTGTTTATTGTATTTACATCCTCACTTGATCCATTTATTTAATCAGATCATCATATTTAATTACACAGTTGTGTTATCTTGTCCCCAGGACTCATGTTATGTTTAATTACAGAGTACTATAATAATAACTGCATGCTGTGAATACTTACAGCACAGGCAATCTCATTTCTTCTGTTTGTGAACAGTGGAGGGAATAGTTTTGCATTTATTAATACTCTTTTGAGCTATACTGTATGTTCAAATAAGCACTAATGTGGTAAGGAATGCAGTGTGGATTAGATGTCTAACAAGCTTTTGTAGATTGTGATATTCCTTTTAATTTGTTTTGAATATCATTCATTGTCTTAAGTTCTGTTTTCTCTAATTTTCCACGGCCTGTGTTAATTGTCTTAATCTTATTGAGTGCCCTGCTTCATTTGAAGTTACCCAGTCTTTAACAGTGCCACTGAGAGGATCTGACTTTCTGGGTACTTGTTGTGTGCAGATCTCTTGTTTTAATTCCATTTTCATCTCTGTGTTTCCAGTTCAAATCCACACCGAGTAAGAGCGTCTCAGTGGTGGGCTGGATGGTGATGATGGCAGACGACCCTGAGCATCCAGATCTCTTCTTATTGACTGATTCTGAGAAGGGTAAGCAGTGCACTGATTCCCAGAATAAACATTTTCTTTGCTGAGGTCATTTGTCAGCAAATAAATGAGCAAGTAAAAGGTGACATTGTTCCAGTTTCAGCTGCTCTCCAATATGTCACCTTTGCCTTTAGAGTGCTATGGGAGCACCAACCCATGGAGAATCCTTAGAATCTCCTTTGAGTTGTAGGAACTCTCCAAACTCTTTAACAAACTCTCTGGAGTCCCCCAGATGTGATTTTAATTGGAAGTATTCATCTGTATTCTTTTAAACCATATTTAGAACACTTTGAGGAATTTTCACATGTGTGAAAATATAGGTAACAATAAAAAAAAAAACAGGATTCAGCTAACACTAGCTGCTTGAGCAGTCCCTTCTCTCCAAATGAAAACCAAAACCCAAACCATCTGTTCAAATGTAGTGCTATTACCAGGAAAAACCCCTCAGAGATCTTACTGTTAAGTGGAGAAGCCTGTGGATGTCCATTACTCCAACACAGTGCCTGCTTTCAGCTAAAACACTGAAGAAAATGTTACTTTTCCATAGCACTTAAAATTGTGAAGAAATAACATTATTAAAAGTTCTGATAAAGGAGCTTAAAATTACTTATTGCTTTGTCTGCTTCAAGTATATTTTATTTCCAAACATTTCTCCTAGCACCACTGATATGAAGTATGAATTGTGAGTGCTTGTCAGTTTAAACTCTGCAACAGCAATCTGAAATGTTTTTGTAACACTTGACCTTCCTGAACCCAAACAAGCACTATGTAACTTCAGCCACTGAAAATACTAGTCTGAAATGTATCAATACATTTAGGAGTAATGTTCAGATATTTTCAAATGTAGCTTTCCAGAGTTCATTTCACTGATATCTTCCACTTCATTAAAAAATCATGATATTATAAACAAATTGAAGTAACGGCAGTGAACAAAACCACTTTTGCTTTGAGGGATGTTTTGTTCTTTCCTAACTGACACAGGCATTTCTTGCAATCTAGAAAGTTAGAAAGGAAGAGAGGCAAGCTGAAACTTCTCTTCAATAGGTCAAGCAATTGCACTCTTCCAGACAAAGTATTGCAATATTCCAGACAAAGGGTAAAGTTATGTGGACCATCTATTAGTAAATCTTCTCATAATATTTCAATTTAGAGGCACTTGAATATGGGTGGGATTTAAGTGTTTAAAAAGGAGCACTGTTTATGTTTCTTCATCAGTTGTTTTTCTCTTTCTTAGGAAATTCATATAAATTTCAAGCTGGAAACAAAAATAACGCAACACTCTGGTTTAAACACCTGAGTGCTGCCTGCCAAAGCAACAGACAACAGGTGAGAGCAAGACAATGAAAATGAATGAGCTTTTGAGAGCACAGAACTGATGGATCTTTGAGCTGGCCAAGCTGTCACTGAGGGCTTTGTGTGTTCCCTGAGCATCCTCTCCACCTGTTTCAGCTAATTGATTTGCCTTGGCTTTTCTATTTGGCCCTTTACAAACAAGTCCTCAGAGCTTCTGGGGTAATGAAGAAAGATTTAGGGCTACCTTGAGACTAACTTAAAGCAATTGGGGAAATACAAGGAATGGTATAAAATATCTGTCTGAGTGGCAGTATTTTTGACTTGCCCATTTGAAAAAGGCTATTGCACAATTATATAAAAAGCTGTAACCTGCACCATTCAATATCAATTCCAGATAACTCTCCTGAAGTGCCTTTTTTCAGGTCATGGACATGATATTTTCTGCTGTGTATGTATTTTATATTCCTAAAATGTATAGAAAGTAGTTTAGCCCTTGGTACATTTTCCAGCCTTTGAAAGCAAAAGTAGCATTTTCCATTAATCAAAAAGGAAGATAAGACTGCTCCAACCCCTGTTAAATGCTGTTCTCATATAAATTCTTACTGACCTTTTTCATCAGCAAAATCCTTCTTAAGTTACTTTGTCTCCTTGAACTCTTCCTTCTCTTTGCACGTTTGTTTATGGAGCTCCCAGAGCAGAAATCCTACTGAATTTCAAGGGGAAACAAAAAGGCTTTTCCAGATACTTCTGTGCTTTCTTGTTTAATTCTACTTCTAAGAGAGATCTTAAGTAAGGAGGGTTGCAGAAGCTCCTGTGAAGGTATTTGAGACAGTGCAAAGGAGAGGAAATTGTGTTCCTGGCTGGAGAAAGTGGGGATAGCAGCAAATAGTGGCAAAGAGTTTGCAAGTAAGTGGTGAAAAACTCTCCTCTGAAGACAGCTCTGGTTCAGTAAGGGTTGGCAATACTGTTAATAGCTGTTACCAGCATAACTGCCTTAGAAAGATTGGATGTTTAAATGTGTTCTCAATGGAATATAAACACCTAGTCTGTTAAATAGCAATAGCTGAGTAATAGTAAGAACTATTTTAATAGATACTGTTTCTGATTTTGATGGTGCAGCTTTAGCCCAGTTGAGCTTTCTTGCTTCTACAAGTAAATGGTAAATGCAAAGCAAGAAATGCTTGATTCATTTCTGACCAAACTGACTATTTATTGACAGTTGTCAGGAATGTGGTGGCTCTTTAGTAACCTGACTAAACGAGAGATGTTGCTGTCAGATCCCTGACGGAGAGAAAATGGAGATATAAACTAATGTATTGCAAACATTTGCTTTGGTCTTTGTGAAAGGGAGTGATATCTGCAGCAGACATTTAGGTTTGCTATGGGAAAAGCCCCTAAGGGGCCTACATCAATACTGATCTGTGTGCCAAGAATTTTCTAGCTGGGGCTCAGGTGAGAGGGTTCCATTTGTCTAGCAGAGCTGAGATTTATGATGTTAAGGTTGTTTTGCTGGCAACTTAAATGTCATCAAAATTAGGAAGTTCTATGGCCATATAAGCAAATTACAAACCTCACAGCAGTTTAATATTTTTGTTATACCCGTGGTTTCTACAGCTCTAAGTATATTTTTACTGCTGGATGATAGTTGCATTCCTTCTCTCCTTTTTTGAAGACAGAATGATGTGCATTTCAACAAAGTGTCTAGTTTGTGAAATAGTTGAATGCAAGTAGCTACTATCTGAAGTGAATTCTTCTATCATTTATATTTTTGTTTTCAGGTTCCTGCCAACTTGATGACCTTTGAATAACAGGCAAATTCAAAACGATAAAAAAGGACAATTTGAACCATGTCATAATTGAGAACAAGGTCCTGATGAAAAATGTGCCAGCTGTATTCTGTGCCAGAACAGAACCTGTCAACTCAATTTCTGAACTCTGGAGCCCTGAACAAGACCACTAATGGTTGGGGAGTGGAGTCCCCCAGATTAAAAATGGAGTTGCAACATGTATTGCCATGGACCATGCTTCGTTATGTTCTCAGAACTGACCTGTGGAAACCACTGCCTTAAAGAGTGAAAGGAAAAACAACAAGAAACACCAAATAGTGTGTGTGAAACTTCTGGCGGTGCTGTGCTTGAGTTAAATAGATTGTAGCTAGTTTTGAGTTTCTTTTAACTTTATACTAATTTTGAAAATAACTCACCTTTTTAGGCATTCTTAAGAAAACAGGTAAACTGGTATTTAAGAGTTGTATCAAAAGCTGTGTATGAACCAGGTAAAAGGTACTACATGTTCTGGAGATGTTGTTTAGGCTATACCAGGAATCCTGGAGGGGAGCTTGTCCCAGACACACCTAGCCTGGAGCAGTGTTATTTCTCTCAGACCTGTAAGAAATGTAACACAACTGCAAGTTCAGAGCAGCACTGAGCTTGCAAACCTTTGTCCTCTATGGGAGCCAGACTGCTACAGTGGCACAGAGGCTGAGCCAAAAATCGGTTTGGTACGCTTTGACCTAATCTCTGATGAAAAACATGTGGTTTGGGCAGTCGGGGGAGGGGGGTGTGGGGTGCATACGAGACAAAACTGAAAGCACTGTTGGGTCAGAACTGAGTGTTTTTGTCCCATTTGTTTCTATGCCTGTGATTCTCCTACACAGAAAAGGTGAATGACAAAACACCAACACCTGGGTACAGCTCACTGAGATGCTTGACTTTGGGTATCTGCTAATTATCAGTTAGGGACCACTGTTAGTGTGTGGTGTTTCATAATATCACTTCAGATGGACATTTTAAAAAGATAGAGGCACAATTTCAAGCTTTCATGTTCTCATTTGGCAATAATTGATTTTAGTATCTGTCTTGGTCAAAGTAGTTGACGTTGTGTGGTGTTGATAACATGGCCTAAAGCAGACCTTACATACAGAAGCTCTTTTGATCTTCAGGCAATTGACTAATTTATTAGAAGGTAGGATAACCTGAGGAGAGAAAAGGTGTGGGGCCATCAAAATTCCATCCTTGACAGGAATCATTCTTGGTCACTGAAATTACTCACAGAGAAAAACATAATGGTTGTAAAAAGGGAGCTGTGCTTTATGTGTGTGTTTGATGCTTAAGACTTTGATTCTTGCTTTATTGGCGTTTCCTTGACGTCACCTAGTTTCCTGGATGATTGGTCTTCCTTTAATCTTCAAAAATATGATCTTTGTAAATCAAGGAAACATTGTCCAAAATATGACTCTGATATTGGAACTTTGAAGTCTGTGAAAAAGTAGTAACTGTTCCATTGACATTGTGGTTTAGTGACCGTAAATATGCTTGCAGATTCCACCATGAATTCTCCTTTTTAAACAGAAACAAGCTACCTACCAGTCTGTTTCAGAGTTCTCTGACTATCTAATAAAGGTTTCTACTAGTAGTTGTTATTTTGAAAATGTATAGTTTGTTTATTGCATCTGAGTAGAAGCCTATAAATTCACATTTGAGGTTTTTTTTTCCAGAGTCAAATTAATCGCGTAATGGAAATGATTAATTTTTGATTTCTGGCAGGCAAAAATAAGGATAATCCAGTCTCATAGTAAACAAAACAAAACACAAAAACCCCAACCACTTGGTGATGTGTAATAGTGTGGTTTATGTTTCCAAGAATTGTTCTGAATTGGCTCTTGTTAGAAAGAAAAACAGTAGAAGGATGCTTCTGTTGGAATTACACCACAAAGACTACGAGAATTTGGCTCCCTTTACAGTTCTTTTGTTGCTGTTTTTTTATGTGGGGAATGAATAGTCTGTTCTGAAGTCATGAATTTTGGGAAGGGGTTGCTTGTGCTGAATCCCTCTGTAATTCACACATCTCCCAAGTTTACTCACTTCGGGTGTAAAGACAACATCCTCACAACCAGCAGTGTTACTTAGTAGAATTTGCACAACTTGAGTTTGATTTTTTTCCGTTTTAGAACTTACTTAATGTGTGTTTCTTCTCAACAACTGTTTGTTTGGGGTTTTTTTAACAATTTGTGCCCTTTTTTTTAAGCATTGTGGATAAATAGCCTGTGGATTTTGAATTTTTAAATAAGCTATTCTAGGTTCATTGCAGCATAACTGTATCTGTTCTTTTGTTAGTGAAACGAAACATGCAACTGGGAGCCACTGACAGCCCACAGCTTTGCTAAGGACAGAGCCAGGTCAGGATGTGTCATTTATTACTGGATTTTTGCATTTTTCCAGCTGTTTTGAGTTAGGTTTTTATGGTAGGAGGATGGTGGGGAAAACAATTCACAAATCATACTTTAATGAATTGTTGCTGTTACCAGCTTTCATTATCCTTAGGCCTCCTACTCTTCCTTGTTTTCTGCCCTCAGATCTGCTGGGTTTTTGTGGGAGAGGTTGAATGTTGTGGGAGGAGTTTCTTGAAATGTGTAGCCAGGATGACTGGAGTGAGTAATGACAACACAGGAAGTATTTTTGGCACTTGTTTCACTGAGTAGTTTGGTACTCTCCCATTGTTTATGGCCACGTAGTTCTACAGGGCAACACACAAACACTGACATTTCTAGAGCTGGAGATAAATGGTGCTCAGAAAGAGGTGCTGGCCACAGAAAGACTCAGACAAGTCAAATACACTGCAAAGAATGTACTAATGCTCTTTTTATTAAAAAAAAAAAAAGGAGTTTAAAAAGTTAAATAACTGAAACTATTGCTGAGAAAACAAGGAGAGCAGCGAGCTCATGGTATGCAGGTAAGAATGTGAGGCAGACTGCTTCAGACAGTTGACACTTTCTCTTTGATTTTCATTTTTAATGTGTTGCTCTAATTGTTTATCTTGGTAATAACTGCTGAACCACTTCAGCTAATATTTGTCACTTTATCCATTAATGTTTTGATTTTGAAACTAAAGATGCCCTTGCAATTCCTTGTTTTGGCCACTTTTGAGCAAAAATTATTTAGAGGAGCTCTTCTAGCAGGACTTCAAATATGAATCTTAATTATCTGACTGATAACCAGCCTTTTAGATAAACGAAAAGTTTTGGGAAAGATTAAGCAACAGGGAATGTCTGGTTTATGAAATTGGTTTGTTGCATAAAAAATACATAACATTGCACTGCTTAGTGCTAACTTTAATTAATCTGTTCTACTTTTCGCTAGCTTTTTCAAACCTGACTTCTATTCCAGTGTCCTGAGAAAGCAAATAAATTTTATAACTTTTATTTTTAAAAAATTCTGGTAGTTTGAATAAACTTAGCTCATCCCAGACACTTTTTCATTTTCAGATGTCTGTTTCATGCCAGAGGAGTATTACTCAAACTATTATGAATCATTAAGTATTTAGGTGCACATTATAGGCATTAAAAATACAAATACTAAATGAAGTCACATAAATACTTAATGAATTAGCTTTAGCACCCAGTTTTAAAATCGTGTTTAGAGAAGTATGCACATTGGAAAACATACTGGAAGCAAAAGGAAGCATAAAAAAACACAGCAGGGTTTTATTAGTTATCTGCTCCTCACTAGAAGTAAATTAATTTAATGTTTCTTGCAACATCAGCCTCCTGTATTTGCATTTCCATGTTTTCAGCACTAGTTCTCCTCTGTTAGTATCAGACATAACACATGGTGACAGCAAATCCTCTCTCTCCCAGCAGAAGACAGGTTTTTGTTGCAGGTTTTTGTGCTGCTGAGGCACATGAGAAGTAAAGGTCCCTTTTGACAAAAGGCAAGTTGATCTTATGGTTTTGATTAACTGTAAGAAATCTTGTCCAAATCAAGGTAAAACATGGGATGTTTTTTGTCTTCCGGCTCTGTCAGTGGCCTTTTTCCTCATTACTTGTGTTTTTTAATTTTTTGGTATTCTTACTCACCAACACTAGTAGTTCCAACCTTATTCATGGCCGGCTCTTAGTGCTGCCTGTTGCAGCACCAAGACCCCAAGACTGGTACTAAACCACATCTGTGAATTGTCTCTTCTTCCTCCAAGGAGACAGCTGTGAAAGTTTTGTTATTATTCTTTAATATTAGTGTTTTTCTTTAATTTATCTCTAAAGCAGCTTGTGCATAAGGTGGTTTGGCTTGGGAAAGTTGCCATCGAAAGGATCTGTATGAGTGGACATGGAATTCTTCCCTAGGGTTTATCCCTTCTTTTAAAAACCATCATTCCAATTTGTAGTGCATGAAGAGGGCGAGTGCTTGGATATGAGGAGGACTTTTGTCAGTGCCTTATTATTAACTTAAAGACCAATTCCTTTATTTCAGTGGTGAGTCCCACCATGGCAGACTTGCAGGCTGTGTCCTCAGTGTTCCAAGGGGTGGCATTCCTGACAGCCACTGCATTTCTGCAGCAGTCACTTGTTTTGATCAGTGTAAAATAGCTGTGGCTTGAGTTGCTTTAGTATTATTTCTGTATTTGAATAGCCTCCTTTTAGGAAAAAAATGCAGAGGTTTTTTGGTAGCTTGGGCTTGTTCAGCTTTTATCAGAAGTAGCTCAGACCTCTTAAAAATTAACTTATTTTTATTTTGGTATGTCTCTTGAGTAGATTTAGTGGGTGGGGGTGGAAATGAAGAGCGTTGTCCACGTCATGGTCTAGACCACATGAGCTCAAGAGCTCTCACATTATTAGGAAGGAGCTTGCTTTTGTCTGTCCCACTTTGATGTAAACACTGAGGAGCATTCTTAGGAGACGATTTATCTTGCAAGCTTTTTGTTAATGTAAAATAAACACCACAGGAAAAAAACTGTGGCTTGGATAAATCTCAGTCTTAATATCTCAAAAGCTCGGTTTTGTATATTGTATTTCTAGTGCCAAGACTGTGTAGGGAGCACTGTCCTTCACTAAAACAACTGCTAGAGACTGTTTTAGCAGCAAAGGCTTCAGAAGCTTTGGAATTAGAAATGCAAGAAAGAATGTGTTGTTCTTAAGCAAGTAAATATTTGTTTTCCTGGAATACATCCTTACAAAAACACAGCAGTCTTACCATAGTCTTTTTATTAATTCAGATGTTGGAAGGGTAATTTGAAAATTAATCTTATGCTTTCTAAGAACATTGCAAGAGAGCAGAAAGGTCAAAGGGGAAAATACAAATTACTTGGTGTAGCTTTGGCAGAATTGAGCTGACAAGTTTTCTCCAAGTTACTAAGTTGCTAAGGAAAAGGAGGTGTATAAAATGTAATGAAATGCAAGTTCCTGCAGATCATGGCAAGGTTCTGGCTGGTGGCCTGGTCTTGCTCTTGAGTGACTAAAACCACCGTAAATACTCCATTTCCTTTGTGTGCTTGATTATTATTATTTCTCTTTATTCAGGTGGGTTCTGGCCTTCATGTGTGTTTGCAGAAGTAATTTCTTACCATTCCAAAGCTGTTCACAGCTGAAACTGCAAAGCAGACAAGCAGTATAAGTTGATTAAATGTTGAAATAAAGGGTTCTGGGGTGCCTGGTTTACTGGCACTTCTGGCTCCTTGTGTGCAGGAGTATATCCATTCAAAACCTACTGAACTGGAGTGGGAAAAGCACCAGGAAAGAGAGATGTGTTTTACAATAATCCTGTAAGGACCAACCATCACTGGAAGGGGGATCAAGGTGTCATGCAGTAAACACAAGCCATTTTTAATGTTCCCTGCTGGCGTGAGGCATTCCAGGGATGGAGGGATTGCACTATGATCTCGCTGAGTGATGTGCAGTTTGGCTGTCCTCGAGCCTCTTCCTTCACCTTTTTTAATACTTTATTCTGTGTGTGCGTGTGAAAACTGTGTGTTTGCATAAGCTAGTTTAAATGAATTTAAGAGCAGGTTTCAAAAATCTTTCCTACTGAAATAAATGATTTAAAAGATGGCCTGTGTCTGAAGTTTTAATTTCTCATTTAAAAAAAATGCATCCAAACTCCAGCTAGGTTTTGCAACATGGAATTTGACTGTCTTTTGGAATGGTGCTGAAATCAGCTGGGATTTTAGTGGCATTTTTCAATGAACCTCTGAAATGAAGCATGTAAAGATATCATTGTCTGCTGGTACAGAAGAACTCTAAAGATGAGCAGGGAAGTACAGTTCATTGAAGAGATATATGTCTGGTCTCAGAGATTGTTCTATTAAATGATGTGGTTTTTCTCTCCTTGGTAGCTTGTCAGATTTTATTTTTTTTTTCTGTTATCTCTATACTTAAAGCTGTGGTAAATTTAAACTCACTGAAGTAGTCATCAGGCAGATTGGCTTTTAAGGTGCAGCTACATGGAAGATAAATTGAAAATTAAGAATGAGTGAATAGCATGCAAAGCCTTGTATTTCCTTAGCTCTTTGTTTGGTGTTGCTTCCCTACTCTCTGTGCCTTTGTAATGCTGTGAAGCCTTACTGGTCATACAGTCCTGGAGGAAATGCTGTGGGGTCAGGCTGTGAAATGCTTGTCAGAGTGTGAGCCTTGGGCTTCTTTGCCTTTTCTCCTTA